GATTTATTAAGGTTATACAAATTCCTGCAATTCCTTGACCAACTGATGACTCAAAAGTAGGATTGGCGGAACGAGGTTGAGTATTGTTGTTGTAGTAAAATGAAAATTCGTGAAGTTGAATATCATAAGATGAAATTGGAGATTTCCTTTGTAATTTATGATTAATTTATGATTAGTTTATGATTAATTTATGATTAATTTGTGTTTGATACAGAGTACACAGTTCCAAAAATAAAATAAATAAGTAAAATAAATATCAACAACTACCTTCCATCATCAATATTAGAAATTTTGTTGCATGAAACACCATAAATCGCATTATGATGACGTTCGATTGCACTAGTAATCTCTGAGCCGCTAAAAACTTTAAGATAATGAGATAGATTCTGCTTAAAATATACCAGCAATGTATAGACATTTTTAATCGATGGCGGAATGGGTAAACAAAGACGTTTGGCTGGTTTCATAACTGGCAAAATGAAATCTACATCCTACACATCAAGTTATAAAAAATCAATCATGTTAATGATAAAGGTACTAAATATCGTTAATACGTGCGAGTCACCTAAGGACAGACATGTTCAAATTACAAAAAATGCGTAATTCAATAGTTTTGGCGTATTTTTTTATGAACTTTTTGAAATGTTCACATGACAATCAGACATGCACTCATAACCACAGAAGATAAATGTGTTACGGATTTGATGCGACTAGATGGCTCGCACAAATAACATGATAATGCATATTCCATGCATACCTCCCGAGTAGGGTTGAACTTGGGGTTACGAACAAGAAAAGTTGACATAGCAGTCAATGTGATATTAGTCATTAATCTAGTTTCCAGTAAATCCATCAATTCTTCCGTGATCTCTTTACCAGGCGGATCTATTCCAAAGACTTCAACTACTAGCTCCCTCGATTCTGAAATACGCTGTTGCGATGAAGGTTTTTTAGAACCAGGTGAAAGAGTAGTAGTGGTTTTGGGACTGCTACCACTCTTGCTAGATGGAGATCTTCGAAAATCCTCCGCAGCGTTGACTGACGACGTTTCAGATTGAATAGCGTTTATAGAATTGATATTTTGGGAAGAGTTCGTAGATCGAGAAGCATCATCAATTTTATCATCTGGGCCCACCTCCGAAATCTTGATATATACAATAGAACTTTCTTTAGCATAGACAAACATATGCTTTCGGTTATTAACAGCAAACGAATTGAGAACACTAGATTCAATTCCATTTATAGCGTTATTCGGTTTTAATCGCCAATGAAGCGGAAATGTTTGCCTATATACCAAAGGACATTCAAATTGTCCAACCTTGAACTTTTTAGAAACATTATTTTGACCATCATCATTTTGTGTCTTTGAAAGGACATCGACCAAATAATTATCCTCAGAGGACAAATCATTATCTTCAGGTGAAGATTCAGAATCTGAAGAATCATCAGGATCAGGTCGCACCAAGTATTTACTAATTCACAAAAGATCATAACATAAGCGTGCATTTTTTTTTTTTTTTTTGAATTGTAAAGTTAAAACAACTCACCTGCAATTATGGGTATTATTAAGGTCAGTCAATAAAATTATCCTATTAACACGTTCAGACGCTTGTATAATGCAATTTCGCACATGCTTAATAATGTTGGATCGTTTAACTTGAGAAACCGCTTGAGAATAAAAATACATTTGAATGCTAGTTTCTTGAGGTATAAAAAGCAACCAGAATAATTGTTTGTGGACAACATTTCGCTTGACTGGCTTTGAATCGAGATCTTGCATATCATCATCCTCATCAGGAAAACCAATACTAATTCCTAGGCCTGAGCCAATCTCATCATCTCCATCATCTTGATAATCATCTAATGCAGGAACTTGAGATATTGATTGATATTCGGATATTTCACCATCATCGGGAGCGGTTCCAAATACAGGTGAAGTTTCGCATCTACCATCAGTAGACACTAAAGGCTCCCCAATTTCATCATCCTCACTAATATAGAAGCAATCCTCAACTTGATTTAGTGTAAATGGCCTCATATCTGCTTTACTTAACGCTTCTAAAAATAATTCATGACCATGCTTCCCGTGTTTTCGACGAACAAATGATAAAGGAACATTAAATGTTGTTGGGAAATCCACGAAAGGATTTTTATTTCGTAGCTGTGTTTGAACAAATGATAATACTGAACGATCAACAGATTGTGATTTTAAGAGCATATGCATTATTTCCTCTTTTGTAAGCCAGTCGATGCGGCTTTGAGTTTCATTTAAAGCCTCCTTTTTGTCTTCAGTGAGACATTCGTACAAAAACTTGTTTGAATTTGTACTGCAAAGGCAAATTAATTGTTAATTTTTAGTATGCCATTTTAACAATCATTTAAGTCAAAAAGTAGTTAATAACCTTGTCCCGTTACTATCATTTTTATGTTCAGCTGAAA